ATATATATATATATATATATATATATATATATATAGTTTATCTGAAGGGAAACCATGAGTATCCAAAGCAAATTTTAAACTACTTCATCAAACCACTCAAACTACAAACGTTAATGACCCAAGAGGGGAAGTCAGAGAACAACAACTGTGCAACATTTTTATCCATTTAATGGAGATGTTTTAACTGAATAAATTATCCAAACAATGTAGCCTACCAGTAAAATAAACTTCACATTAGTGGCAAACTGAGCAGTTTAAAGATGATGTTTTGGACTATCAACGTTTTCAGCCATCTGTTAGAAATAGATGTGTGTTTTTGCCTTGTGAACTTACCACAGGGAACGGATGGCAGAGCAGCAGCAGCAGCTGGGTCAAAACGTTCTTCCTCACGTCTCCATGGAACTGGATCAGCTCACAGAAACTGGAGAGCAGAAGCCAGAACCGTCAACCATTTATGCTTCTTTTTGCTTTATCGTGCACTCACTAATCAATGAGAAAACTTACACATCGATGCAGGCATGCAGCTTGGAAATGTCTTTGGACTTCTTGCACATTTTGCAAAGATTTAAAAGGTCCAAACAGAACGGATGACTTTGAAACAAAACAACAGAAAAGCTTTAGTCATCATAGAGATCTGCTTTTTATAACAGTGTGATCACACTCACTCCTTTTGTGTGGTGAAGATCTCAAAGCAGCTGTTAGAGAGCATCTGACTGAGCACCCTAAGCAAGGAAAGAGATACCCTGAAAAGAAGAAGAAAAAATAAGACATGACATGTAGGTGGAAGATTAAAAGTTCATATTACTCAGCTTTCTGACTTTAATGTAAAGAATAGAAAAAATAAGAATACTTGAGTCATGAACCTTTGATTATGGAGATTGTCTCTGAAAAGCCTCAGCAACGTATCTCCAAACTGTGTCAAAGCAACGCTATCGTTTTGAATCCCTTTCAAAAAGTCAAACAGCGACTGGGAGGAAAAATGCACCTGAACAAAAACAGAAGAGAGCAGGAGTTAACGTGACGCTCACCACATTAAAAACACAGGCAGTGTGGGCTAGTTACTATGGTACTGACTAGTTACTAAAAAAGTCTGAGGTGAATTCATGAGACAAAAACAAGAGCTGTAACAAAACCGCTAAACTAATTATAATATTGTACTGCGGTATATACCGTACTTTCCGACGTACAAGTCGCACCGGCGTATAAGTCGCTTCAGTCCAAAAATGTTTAATAAAGTGTAAAAAATATATAAATAAGTTGCTTCGCCGTATATGTCGCATCTATTATGCGTCACTGCTGACTTGTCACGTTTTTTATATGTCATCGCTGACCACCCAGAAATGTGGGCTGGTGTTGTGCCAAAAATCGATTGGCTGCCGAAATGGCGGCCGTGGGAGCGTGCACGGGAGGACTTTAACAAGAGTTTAACAAGATTAACACTTAAAAACAATTGTTTGCTCGATATTATAGTAAAGGTGTGTCTCAGTTGCACTATTCCTTAATAAATGCACTTTAATGGTCAAATCAGCTGCACTTTGCCTGAACGGCGTGGTGGAATGAAGCTGACATTTGCTCCAGGAGTTCCGGAGCGAGACGAAGGTGGCTTGTATGGCAAGCCAAGTGTTTCATTAATAGCCACTTTTACCTATTAATGAGACATCCTGATGCATGCTTAATGAGACACTTGGATTGCCATAAGGCTCGAAGGCCCTCTAGCGGCAGCAAATGGTAATGTTTTAATATTTTTCAAGTCAGAATGAAATCATCAGCTCTCAGTCAAAACTTGGTTATAAATTCGTTCAACCTTTATTTAGACAGGTTAATCCCATTGAGCCTCGAGGACTCATTTACAAGAGAGAACCGATTTCAACAAAGAATGATGATGACAATGGACAACAACGACAACAATAGACAGTTATAAAAAGGCATAAAGATTTTTTTAGACAAATAAGATGGCAAAAAAGTAACAAAAACAGCTAGATTATAAGGCGAATGTAGAAAACTGAAAACAGGAACATGTCTGCATTGGTTCTTGCCAGATATTTGCCAAATATGTGAAAAAAAAAAAGAACGTATATTAGTCGCTTCGGTGTATAAGTCGCAGGACGTGCAAATTTATGCACAAAGGTGCGACTTATACGCCAGAAAATACTGTAGTCTAGCCTCAAGACTTGAAACAACCAAACAAAAATGTTCTTTTGATGGAAACTTTGTCCAATTTCTTTTTTTGTGTTTCAAGTTTTGAAATTAAGTACAACTTATACATTTAAAGACTGAAGCAGCTAAAATGTAGTTAAAATTAAGTATATTTTAACCTTTATGGGACACTGGTGATTTTGTAGTTTGGCTTCTATTTATGTTGAAACAACCCATTGAAATTTGGTGAATGCTCCATTTCTCCCTGTCCTGTCGTGCCTGTGGTGTGTGAATCTTAATCTTGGCCTATGAGTTACTGCAGTCTTAGCCCAGTTTTGTCAAATGTAACCTTGTACAGATATATACCTCTTCTCTGAGGACAGATCTACAGCAGAGGAGATGAAAACAGGACGAGAGCTAGGTTGTCTCCGAGGGAACATGTCTGAAGCCTCCAACAATAGACTGCTTTAACTTTACTGGCCTCACTGCTGTTATTGCAAGCCTTAAACTCATTTCCTTTATTACGTCTATAAACACTGAAAGTTAAAAATAAGCTCAAATCTTTGTGGGCAGGGCTTTTTCTGGTTTTAACAGGTTAGATAACACTTGGGGAAGGAATGAGTGTGGTTAGCCCCAGATATGAGCCGAGCTGGACTTCCTGAGAGACCTTGCATAAAAAAGGTTGTAAAAAGTAGAAAGTATGCATACTTGCAGATTTAATTATTTTTGTTTTCCAGCAGCAAAAAATAAATCATAGAGCCTGACGATGCTTTAAGTTCAGTTTGGGTATGGAGAAAAGTAACAAGACTTCCCATAAGTGGTTTTAGAATATCTCTAAAAACACAAAACAAAAACAAAACAAAAAAAGCTGCTCTACAGAGCAGGAGGTAATTTTGACTGAACCCATTGCTCCCCCTGTTGGTCTGCTCTTGGTTTTCCAAGTGTTTCCTGGCTGCAGAGAACATAAATAAGGCCTTGTTTTGTCCTCCTAAATAAATGTGATGCTAAATATTAAATCGGGTTATAAAAAGCTTGATTTATGTATGCAGACATATAGCTTTGATTGATTTACAGACAATAACTAAAGTGTTTTGTTTATGTAACTGAAACGTGAAAATTATCACTGACATTTGCCAAAATATTTTGTGAAAGGCAAGTTTGATGAAACAAGTGAACGACAAAATAACTAGAAAAAATGCTTCCTTCTGTGCAAACAGGGGCTGAACTTTTGTGCTTGATGGCGTTAAATGTGTAATTCTATGGCGTGCTGGAAAAGGGATAGAGCCCTTTCTTGCTCATCTTTCATTGCACATCAGTTCATCATATTTCTGTGATTTGACAATATTCTACTTTTCCACCTACCGTGGACTCCGTCATCCCTCCTGCCGACACACAGAGGCCCAGCAGGGTGTGGTACTGATACTCAGGCAGTCCAAGCAGCTGTGCGATGTACTTGTAAGCTTGGGATGCAGCGTTCCAATTTAGAGTAGTTATGGTCTCACTGAAAGACATCAGCAAAATAAATCAGCAAATAAAATAATGGGGGTTTTGCATGTGTGATTACCCCAAATGCTTTTTACAACAACAACAAACAAAAAAAAGGATTAAAAAATGCTGTAAAAATCGAGAAAACTGTTGCAGTTTTTAATGCAGCTGGTTACAGAATGGAGTCACCCACACAGGTAAGATGTTCACAAGCGCCTCCCTGTGGGGGATGTGAGGAACTGCAGGCTCCGTGCTGTGAAGGAGGCGCAGGAAGACGCAACCAGCGTGCGCTCTGTAGCAGTCAATCTTCTCCGCTGCCTGTTGGACCAGGCAGCACATCATAGGCTTCACCCTGCAGCAGTTTACAGAAATAACAAACCAGGAATTGTTTTTGTCAAATTGAGTGCAATCAGCAGTAAAAGTAATCTGTAAGGAAAGGTGCATTAAAAAAAAAAAAAAAGCCAGTTAAAAGTTTTCAGATATTTACTCACAGGTCTGGTGAGAGGATTTCTGGAGCTTCACTGGCCACTAGCAAGGTTAGTTCCATTAAACTGGTCATTGCTGCTTTTCTTACCCTTCAAAATGGCACAAAAATAAACGAGACTTAATTCTGTGCAGGACGTGTGGATCAGCGTGGTCGTTGGGCTGTGAGTAATTTATTACAAGTTGAAAATGACAACAAGACATGCACACATGAGCTGATAAAAAACACCACATAACACTGAGTGAGTGTCAGTAGCTGTTCTATAGTCAAATAAGCGTCTTGCCTGCAGGGAACAATTTGTTTATGTGAAATGCTGATCGGTACATTCAAACACAAGCTACGCCCTGAAACAGATGCTCAGGCAACTGATGGAAGTCGCTGATTAATGGACTTTGTGGCAATAACTTAAGGCGAATGGAAGTCAGTGTTGTAAAAATAAAAGTCCCCACCTGGTTTTAACTACCGGTAAACACATTCACTGTTATGTTACCTTTTTTTTTTTTAACTGGACAAAAAGGATTTTTAACCCGGCCTAAAACAACCATTTCAACTACATGAAGAGTTGTTCGAGATATACTCTCACAGAAGTTGCCAGGATTCATGAGTTCATTCATGATTCATTCGTGCAATAACACTGCACCAAGCCACATCTGTGACAGCTCATATGACTAATATTCAATGATTCAAGGACTCAAGGTTCTTTATTTGTTATTCCACCACATGTGGTGGAACGAAATTGTGTACGCAGGGTCCCATTTACATCCAACAAAAGCAATAAAATGTAAAAGAAAAACAGCAACAAAATCTAAGATATGAACTAAGAAAAACGTTAACTATAAACACATTAAGCACTAGTAGCATAAAACAATAAAAACAATATGACGAACAGCAGCACGAACATGAGTCTGTGTGAGCAGATGAGCACACATGAACACATCAACATGAAACAGATCAGCAGCAACATGAAACAGATCAGCAGCAACATGATGTGATTTTTCACAGTGATTATTCTGGTTAGAGATTCATGAGTCTAACAGCCTCAGGGTAGAAGCTGTTCCTCAGTCTAGTGGTTCTGCACTTAATGCTCCTCAACCTCCTTCCTGAGGGGAGCGGGGCAAAAAGTGTGTATGCTGGGTGAGTGAGGTCCTTCATGAAGCAGGTGGCCCTCTTCCTGCATCTGGAGGTGTAAATGTCTGTGCATAATAATATTATAATAATAGCATAGTATATTAATATTATAATAGTATAGTATAGTAATATACTATAATATACTGCTAATACTATAATATATGAATATAATATATTATAATAATAGTATAATAATATTAGCTTGTGACAGCTATTATGTTTATTGCTGCTGCATTATGTAGGCTGTGTCTAAGCTGATACTAGGCTGTATCATGAATGACAGTATCTATGTATCTACCTTAGCATCATAATTCAATCTCAACGTCACTCACTACCTGTGCAATACTATGTGAAATATTATATGCAACTGGTTTGCTCCACTTTGGAGTAAGCTGTTGGGGGGAAGAATCAGTTTTGTTGTGTGTTTCCTTGACTGATGAAGACTTCTGGATGGAAAGTGAAACATTTCAGCACAAAAAAAGAAAAAAAAAAAAGAAAAGAAACTGTCCAGATGACCTGACTGAAAGTTGTTGGATTGTACACCTGGATTATTGAGCATTGACTTTGTTGGTTATGTGCAATATATATATATATATATATATATATCCGTCTGTATATCATGTGCATTTTAGCTTACCGTTATATTACTACCTTGAAATACTTGTTCATTCATAATCATCCTGCTGCACCATTATAGTCTAACATGTTATTGTTTAAGGACTCAAGGTTCTTTATTTGTCATTCGCATCACATGTGGTACATGTGGTGGAATGAAATTGTGTACACAGGGTCCCAGTTACATCCAACAAATGTATAAATTGTCAAAGAAAAACAGTCATAAGATCTAAGATCTATTTACTGTCTCTCTTCAGAACCTTGTAAATATTATAATTACTTTTTTTGGTACTTTATTTTTGTACCCTTATTGCATGCCTTTAGTATTTCTTGTTTGTTTGTTCTTTGATTTTTCTAGTGAGTCAAATCTGTTCTTCTCATCCTAAGCATTTCATTGTACTACTGTTAACCCGTCATTAACCTTGCATATGACAAATAAACACAACTTGAACTTGAGACACAAACATAAATAAATAAATAAATAAAATCAAGGATCACAAAGATAGTCTAACCCCATTAAATACAAATACTGTAAAATAATCCAACAAAATTTTGTCTATTAGTTTATCTTAAGGGCAGCGTGTTTTTAAATTTTACCAATAAAGATGATTATGATACTGTATGTTTGGGTTTGAGATGCATGTAGAACAAAAACAACAGCAGGAATAAGATCAGGTGTTCAGAAGCAAAACAAAGAAAAACTTAAAGGAACAAAATATTACTAGACAGTGAAGAAAAATCGGCCCATCCCTTGTTGCAAAGGACAAGTGACAAGCCAGGTGACATTCCTGGTGAGTCCGTAAGCATGGCCTGAAGCTACGTGTGACAGAAGCAAGATGTTCCACTTCTGTGTGGAAGGTCAAAAAAGAAGCACCAGAGGCCTCGGGTGAGAAAATGCCTGCGTACCACAAGACCTGTGTGCTTTTAGCATTTTCAAATGTGTTGAAGAGTGCAAGTAGTCCTCACCAGGCTCCGACGTCCCCTCTGCTGTCCATTGTGTAGTCATTCAGACTGCTGAGCAGAACCTTGTACACATCAGTGATATTCTCTGAGCACAGCACAGAGTCGGGGGATCCTTGAGCACAAACACCTGCCTTCATACACACTCTGACAAAACAAAATGAACAAGTTAAAGTAACACAAAAAGCAATCAGATAAATGTCTGGACGTGCCATTCAGGTCCTTCAGATACAGTCAGTCAAATGTTTATTTACTTTTGAGACTGGTATGTATTCAAGCTAGTGGAAAACAAAAAAAAAAAAAAAAAAGAGCGAAAGAGAGAGCTTTTGTAACCTGCACCTTTAGACAAACAAATAAAAGTTCTCAGAAATAAGCACAAAGACTCACTGAGCTATGGATTTGACTGCATCTCTCCTCGCCTCAGTGAAATTGCCCTCCTTTTGGCTGACAGTGCACATGTGCTGAAGGCTGTCTAAGATCTAAAAAACAAAGCAATCAGCGCTTTATCCTCACACAGCTGAAAAAAGGAGATATGGAATACACTGTAGCTATATGCATATTAAAAAACAAACAAACACCTGCTTAAGTTTGCTGTGGATCATACGTCTTGGCAGACAGCCGAGGGCGAGAGCAGATCCGCTTCGAGTCAAAATCTGTGGACTCCTCAGTCCTTCAATGTACCGAGACACCAGGGCATCTAAGCATGTGCACAAAAACAGGCAAACAGCTGTCAGAAAGCCCATGAAGCCAGGCAAATCTTCACATTTAGTACAGTTTGTATGAGAAACCTGCCTTGCATCTGAGAGTCAACCTGGCCCGTTTGGTCCTGGTAGTACTCCTCACACAAAGCAGAGAGAGCTGAGACCACTGCAGCCTGCAGACCCAACAAGAGCAAGATCAACAGAAAATCCAAAAGTTTCAGCAATGAAAAGTTTCAAATAATGCACATGATCGTATTGGCAAATTTGAGACATAAGAGCTTTGTTTATCTTCATCAAACATTTTTAAGTAAGCTGATTTTTTTTTTTTTACAAGCTTACAGTAAGGTCATCCTTTGTGCCACTTGAGATGAGATGAAGAGTCTGTATGGTGTCATCGATGACCCACTGCCAGCCGTCTGAAACACAGATCCTTTCAGCTCTGAAGCGTCATAAAATAAGTAATAACATGTTGCTCTGTTCACTTACCGATGATGGGGTCGTTCTTAAAAGGCATTTTGGACAGAGACAGCTTTTCAATGAGGCTGAAAACTAAAAGAAGTAATACATTTTTTTTTAAAAGTGTTATGATGGTCTTGTTTTTGCAACAATATAACACAAAATTGAACCAATTTTCATTTGAGCCTTTATACTTACTTGCTGGTCTCATCAGTGCTCCACCAAAGCCCCTGTGTCACACAAGCAGAATTTTACAGTTAAAAAAAAGAATTGTAGTTTCACTGCAAAGATAAAAGTTAAACAGAATATTTCTACTTACTTGTATTGTTTTCTTTCAAGTAGCTAAAAATGTGTCAACAAATAATAAGTGTAAACACACCGACCATAAATTATTCAGGCAACAAGTTTAGTTAGAAACGTTTCAAACTTACCAGATGGTGAATGTTTTTTAATGCATCTACACATTCTGGAGAAATGATGTCCACCACGGTCCTGTTGAACAAAACAAACGTGTTCAGATATTTTCTATTATTTTTATGATGCTAAGCTATCTACTGGTAATAAGTTTAGACATAACACTCGTTCGTTTGCTTCAATCATTTAAAAGAATAAATAAATGATAAGTATAACAGCAGTAAATGTCTTAAAAAGTATCTGAAAGTCTGGGGAACCAGTGTTTAAATGCACTTTTTAAAAATCACACTAGCCACTTAAACTAGAGAAATTGCAGTTCCTGTGTTTATTGCAGAAGAACTTGCTGAAAAACAACTGAGATTAGCTAAAAAAGATGAAATCCAGCTAAAATGGAAGAATAAGCTTAAATTAGAAGAAAGCAGAAAGAATACATATTTGCTGACTTAGGTTTAAATAAACAGAAATGAGCACAAAAACTAGAAAATTAGCTAAAAAAAAACCCTGAAATTAGCAAAAACTTGCTGAAAAGTAGCTGAAAAGGCAGGAAAAAAACTTAAACTACAAAAAGGAAGTGGAAAGAGCCGAGTTTAAAAATGTGGAATTGGCTGACAAAAATTAATTTAGCATTAAACAGCTAAATAGTATATCTGAAATAGCAGAAAAAGAAGAAAGTAGCAGAAATAAGCTGAAAGGAGCATAACAAGATGAAATAAGCATAAAGAAATTAATTTGGCTGAAAGGAAAAGGAACTTTGGAAAAAGTTTAAAGGAGTGCAAAAAATGTGGAATTGGCTGAAAAAGCTAAAATTAACATAAAACGGCTAAACAGTACAGTAGATGAAATAACCAAAATCAGCAGAAAGAAGTTAGAATAAGCACAAACATATTATAGTTAGCAGAAAGATCCTGAAAGGAACACCAAACAGCTGACGTTCACGGAAAATAGCTGAAATTTCTTTTAATTTGCACAAGGAAGCTGAAACAAGCTGAAGCAGAACAAAATGTGAAAGGAGCAGTAAAAAGTTGTAAACAGATCTAAAGATCTTAAGGATGTAAAATGAGCTGAAATCATTTTCTATGAGGAAAAGCAGAAAAGGCTAAATATTTCAAAAAGCTAAAGTTGCATCAATATCAAAAGTCATAGCAGGATTGTCCTGAAAGAGCTGAACATTTTGATTTACGATTTGTTGAAATAGTGTGAAAACTTGCAAATGCTTCACAAGCGTTCACACTATTAGGTCTAATACTTGTTTGTGTATTTCAAATTGACCTGTTGGTCTGAAGGCCCAGTTTGTACAGAGCATGTGTGATTTCTCCACATGCCAGGATGGCTCCTTGACGACCATGGAGGTCCAGGCCCACCGCCATGGTCAACAGCTGTGGCAAAACTGAAACCAGAAGGAACAAAAGGGTGTTAAATTTGCTCTTAACCATTTTAAAAGCTTCCCTATAGTTACAAAAAGGCATCTCTTGTAGGGTATTTAACTAAAAGCTCAACATCGGCTGATTAACAGGTAAGGTGACATTGTTTACCTGTCGATGCCATGTAATCGGGTGCTTGAGGCGTCAGGTTGTGGAGAGCTTTAGAGGCTAGCTCTCGGATCACGCTGCAAAACACAACACAGCATGTTTCCAAAAGATATTTAAAAATCTTACATATATATTTATTTATATTTGATGGTGCTATGATTGCAGTATTAAATAGTACTGACCTATCCCAGTGGTTGATCTTCATGGTTATTAAATGGTCTATCAAGGATGTGGTGTACTCTGGGAAACCAGCTATATAGACACTTTGAGAACACAAATCTCAAGTTATAACAACAACAAAGACCATTTCTTGCATGTTGTGAATCTATCAGAGGTAGAAAATGTTGTTCAAGTTGCATCTTCCTCTATATGCAGCTTTGAGGCGAGTCATACCCCAAGGCTACCATCTTTCTGCACTGTCACTGTGTCACATATGTGGTTGTTGGAGGTGACTTTTCTGTAAAAAAAAAAATCTTAAGCTCTTAATTTTTTTTGCTTTATTTGATTAAATTCTGATGTCTGGATCCAACAAGTCCTCGCACAGATCACAGGTTTTACTGGAAAAAATAAATGGTTTTGCTACAAAGCTAGCTAAACTGCACACTTATAATAAACCTTCACATTTCAGTACACAATTAAAACGTTTTTTAGTCTTTACACGTATACAAATGGAAGTTCAGATAAACATTTATGCATATTCAAAAGAGTTGCTACTATTTTATAAGAAATCAAGGCTAAATGCAGGAGCAGCATGCACAAATAAACAAAAAAGTTTTGTATTTTTCATCCAAAGTGTACATATCTAATATTATTTTTAATACATAAAACCTCATTTTTAATCATGACTGTATAATGTTAGTAACATAAATCTTATTTAAGAACTTTTAAGAACAGGCACTGGTTTTGAAAGCTTTGCTTTTGGGCCACAACAACTTACTTAAACACAACTTTTGGTAACACTTCATAAAAATGTGGCAACATTTTTCATATGTTTTCTTTATTAACAAAATATATGTTCTATTAGAAAAGCCACTAGACTTTTTGCTGCCACCCAATTCTCTGATTCAACCCACTAATAAAAACAGAATGTTGTAATCATCGATGACTGGCAGTTTCACTTGAACAGTTTGTGACTAATAAAAAAATAGTCGTGAGTTTATAATGCCAATAATCAGTTTCTTACCTAATGTGCAGATAGCAGTTATTGAGATTTCCTACTGCAAAGTAGTCTGCTGCTGTTAAGATGTCAATGCCATGGGGGAAAGTTCCCTATTGAGATAAAAGCATAAAAATAAAATGTTGCATTACTTTAGAATGGTCTACGTTGCTATAAAAAAAAAAAGAGTGATTTTTGAGATAAACTAAAGTGACAAACTTCCAAATGCAAGTAATGACAAATCTGAAGAGTTATAGCTTAAGGACTACTGGCAAATCAAACATTTGCTAGTGCCCTGTAGCTACACTGGGAGGCCATTTTATTTCAAAGCTCTCAGTAACAAAACAAGTTTAAGCATGAGCTGGATTTCTGTTCACAAATAAGGATCAAATCAGGGTTATTTTGTTATTCTGTGTCACAGCACTCGAATAGCCAAAACTTCTGTCACAAACCTGTCTGCCGACATTCTCTTGGAAAGCAGCCTGAGACAAAAAGAGACACAAAATTTACTTTTCTCATTCAACCGTGTGTCTCGAGTTGGGCAATCGATCAGAGGACTCACCGAGGCAGCTCTGCGGCAGTTCACATTTCGATCAAACACAGCTGCGATCAGCAAAGCACTGCAGAAAACAAGACGATTAGAGCTTGTATCTATCTTTGAGCCAAGGAATGAGTAAAATTAATGACCACAGTCTTTTGAGCTTTTCATTTACATATGCTTGTTGTTTAAGTTTGGATTGATAACACTGAACTGATTTTAGCTGCGACGGGTTTACAGCGCAGAAGAAAAACCATTACAGTAGTCATAATCACGACTCCTCAGCAGTACAGAAACTTTATCAAATCTCTTTTTTCCTGAGCGTACCTTCACACTACATTACTTCTGGATATTGCAAGAGGAGTGGGTGTGACAAGATCAGTTTAAAGGGGGCCAACCTTCTTATACATCACTGTGACAGCCTGAGAAAAAAAAAAAAACGGGCCTTCAAACGGTCTTTCAACAGCGAGTTTCAGGCATTGTGATTTACCAACTGCCCCCGTCAGACTTAACAAACGGCCCTTACCCAGAGGGCTTAGAAACAACTACATTGACTGAACTTTAGGTAATGTTGTGAAAAATATTCTGAATTACGCCCATGCATGCTACAGTTACAAAAACAAGCATTACATTTGGTACTTCAAAAGAAACACAACTGGTTGTATTTGCCCCCAAGTCGCTACATCCCATATTCACAAATGTGCGTTTTCAGTGAATGTCATCGAGCTGTGAGGAATCGAGCAGGAACCAGCTTGTCCCAGCTCTTCTGCCAAACGGCGACCGAAACCTACAGCAGCAGGCGAAACCTGGCAGTCTTGTGGGCCGGGGAAAGGGAGGGTGTTGTCTCGGCTGCTGATACCGACTTGCAAAGGGGTTAACACTGACGGTGCAGAGCTGGTCTGCACAGTCAGAGGCCACAGGTCCATACTTGCAAGCCACGAAAAAGAAAGTCAAGTATGACACAAACCGTTAGTGTTAAACAGTGAGTTTACGTCACTGGGTGAGTGTCTACCTCTTTGCATCAGTTGATCAATGTGCAAGTTGTAATACATTTTAGGTTTTAGGCTTGGACTTGGAACAAAACAAATAGGTTTAAGTTACAGGCTTTGTAAAATTGTTACCCTTAAAAAAGCAGGTCATTAGTTAACATATAGTCAGTATAAGAATATTCTAAGTAAAAGTTAACTCAACGTGACCCTGATCTAGTCCATTTTTTATCTGAATCTGAACCCATAAGCAGCAGTAGATCATTGCACAGCAAAATGCAAATACATGCTACTCCTCAACCCTTCAGTAGAATTTGATTTAGTACAAGAAACAGCTTTGAACTCATGCTAGCTGCGCAGGGGCGTCCGAGTGGCAAAGGAAAACTGGTTCGAGGCAGTAAATTACAGCTAACAGACAAATTTTGCCACTTCTATGCAAAAAAAATCGAAAACAAAAGTCTTTCACACTATCAGTCGTGTTTCTGAAATATGTGTCCAGCTAGTAATTTGACATGTCTCAGGCCAGGTGACATAAGTTCAACGACTTGGTTTGGGCCACTACCCACCGTTTGACAATCATAAATGTAATGTGCATCCACATCATTGTTGTTGATATTCATTTTTTAAATTATTAACAGTTCTTTTAGGTAGGCATTAACTGTCTTACAGCATTCCTGGGTGTCCAGTTTCAGATGTATTAAAGCACATTACATTTTAGATGGCTGTACCTGAGGCTTGAGTATTTTTTCCCAACAAGAATTAATTCTTGAAAGGCCCTCTTCTGAGTAGCTGTTAGCTCGACTCCCTGATGGTAACTTCTGCTCGATTCCACAAACTGACACTCTGACTGCTGTGTACTGCTGGTAAGTGGCAGCTCATAAGTAGTCCACAGAAACCTACTTCAAAAAGCCTGAATACTCTCCGTTGAAAAAGTATTTATGAGAAAAATATACAATTATACTGAATAACTGTTTAGTGATAATATATTATGAACACAAAAACTACTCTGCTGTCATTGAAAGGTTAAACATGGCACACACATTCGCTTGATCTAGTTTAGTTGTGCTGGAGGTATGTGAAAATTTGTACAGAGCAAAGCAGAAAAACAAAGTATTACCTGGCAATCTGGTTGACATAAGGGTTTAGTTCCTTTGGTTCATAAGCTCTGGCGAAAGACCAGCACACATAGCAGGCGGCATCGCGCACGTTAGAACCAACACTGCACGCTCCCCGCTTTTCCTCGAAGATCAGGGACTTGATAATCAGCGGCACAACTGCAGATTACAAAATGAGAGCAGAAGTTTCATCCAAAGACAAAAAAAAACTGAAGAACGAAAGCCAACAACAAACTTTAATTACTTAAATTTTACGACTTGTAATTAGTTAAGAATTAGGCTAGACAAATTGTGAATAATAAAGAAATAAACGTGACTAGTTTTCTTTTTAATATACAGCACCTCCAAATTTTTGCTTTATAATTCTTTGGTAAAATCTCATGCGAGCTCCATCTTTAACAACGCATCAAGGAAATACCAAGTGCAAATCTCATGTGCATCTTAACACCTTCACTTTACAAAATTTATATAAACATATTGTCGACTGAGGCCTGTGTGACCACTTTAACAAAAGGCAGAGATGAAAACTGACAGAGATCTCCCACCTCACCGTTTAAATCATTGCTTGAGGCCTGACTAATATCAGGTGGATCATTGTTGCCTGAGGGCCCTGCTGTTTGGGCTGAAGCACCACCCACTGGAGAGACAACACCTTAGAGAGGCAAACTAACCACACAACCAATATCACACTCATCATCACACACATCCACAGCTCGTAGCTACTAAAACGAGTGCTCGGACCAGATACTGGCATTGGCTGTGAACTGGGGTCCCTTCTCTACAGGCTTCGTTCTTTATAAAAGACACTGTTGCTTCAATTAGACAAGGTAATTATTTTCCATTTATGTCCTTGTGTTGACAAAAAAATCAGCATGGCTCTAACTTCTTATGTGCAGCACTTAAAAGTCTTTCTGTCAATGGGCAGAGATTTGTAACAGCACTGTTAACTCACCTGCAAATTGTATTTAGGGGCAGGTTTAAGCAAGGCATGCACCTGTTACTTACACATCTGTTAGCTCCTGAAGGATGGGTAAAGAATTTTTAAGTTTAAAGTATTTAAAAACACATCAGTATTTTTTTAAAGTAGCACTATATTGCTTTGTGAATTAAAAAAGGCTGTATTATTCTATTGTTGAATTTTATTTTTTTCAATTTTTTTGTGCCTGATTTGTATTCATGGTACGAATGAGTTAAAAAGGCATTTTCTACTGAGTTTTCCCTCTTTGGAAAGGGAGTGTTCAGTCATGCTACTTTAGTCCAAACTTGAGTGACAACTTCTTGCGACAGCGCACGACAAGCAGGTTTCTCCATGCACACCCAGCAATCCTCAGCTAACATCTTTAGGTGGTGTCTCATTTTTTTTAAAAGAACACTCTGTTTCTAAACGGGCTTACATCACGTATTCACTAAAACAGTCTCAATCGTTCGATCTGTAGTAACAGAATGAAGTAGGACGAGCGGCATGCATCCAGTTCCAGGGCTTATTAAATGATGAATGCATCCCGCAGGTGTAGTCATGGTAAGCAGGTTGGCTTGTAGTTCCCACGCCGACAGCGCACGGTTTAGCTGTGAGAGAAAGCAAGTCTCTGCATGCCCTCCAGGTCTGTGAAACAAAGTGTAATCTGTCTGGAGGTTTAGCGGTCCTCTAATTTTATAAGACTGACAAAAAAAGGGAAATTAAAATGAACTGACAGGTGAGAGAGCAGACTTAATGTAGGCATAGCATGTGTTCACTGAAACCAATAACCCAAACCAAACAAAGACTGGACTGGATATATGCACACATATAGGTTATATTTTTGCATACAGTAGGCAGGTTTACAAATTTTAATAAATGTCTGCTTAATATCCATCCTAGTGTGAAGGAACAAATGTAGCCTGAGGGTGTAGTGTTTGTGCAGAAGCAGAATATTCTAGCCATGCAGCCAGGAAAAAGCTAAGTTAAACCTACCAACGACAACACCTTTCCATCTGAACCAGTTAAACAACTCGATACCTCGTTAGGCTCTTTACTTGAAAAACAGCTAAGAAAAAAAACAAGTCCACTGAAGTCCATTGGGGGGCTTAGACCTTAAGCTAAATAAAAAACAAAGAAAAATAGATCAACTAAATATTGAGCTTTACTAATTTAATCTTCTACAATGTGCCACATTCTTCTTTCAGAGGACTTGTACTGCAGGCTGAAGATGGACACCGATCCGGAACGCAAACCAAAAAGGCCTCACTACATTCCTCGACCACCTGGAAAGCCTTTCAATTACCAGTGTTTCCAGTGTCCTTTCACCTGCAACGAAAAGTCTCACCTGTTCAACCATATGAAATACAACTTGTGCAAAAACTCCATCTCCCTGATGTCACAAAAAAACGTGCAAACAGCCCGACAGATCAAGGCTGTAGCCAAAGGAGTCTTGGTCAAATCTAAAGATTGTACAAATGACCTTCCAGACCAGAACAAAAGTCCTGAAAAACATGACGTAGAAGAGAACAAAGACGAGAGCAGGGATGATGCAGAAGAACTAGATGTTGGGTGTGACAGTCCGGTCAGTAAGGATAGTCAGAGTATCGCGAAACCAAGTATAAGCACCGAGAGAGAAATCAGGGAGAACAATGAAATTAAGGATCTGCCACGCCCTTCTGCTTTCTCCCCCGTCACACCCAACCGTGACGGTGCAGAAGCCTTGAAATCCCCTGTGCCGCAGACGGAGGATCCACAAGCTCCTACTATCAACCATCCAAGCAACATGTGGGGCAGAATTTCATCATCTGTTCCCTTAAAATCATTCAACCCCCTTGTGGTTCCTGAATACCCTCCTTATCTTTTGCCTGACCGACACCTGTATCCATCATATTACCTCCCAAGACACATTCATGTGAATGAGCTAAACTCTTCTTTCCAGCCAGAGTTTATAGATCCTCAAAGACCCATGGTACAACAGCCCATTGCCCCACCTTATGCTTCCACGATTCCCCCTTACCCTTACAGATACTGCCATACTCTTCACCCAGGGACCCCTCTGCATTACACCTTTTACAGACCCCATGAGATTAATATGCCAATCACAGGACACAGATATATTCCTTTGGATATCTACACCCAAAGCCTTGACCAAAAGGAGCATGACTTATACATGTATTCACGTCCCAGCCACAACAACCCCCATAGCTCCACAGAAGATGAGAGTCACCATGATCAAAATGGGGATAAAGCAACACGGCTGAGCCCTAAAGAGGGCTGTTCAGCTTCGGGGTCCCCTGATAGACCCAGCCAAGCAGACATCATTCAAAGAGAAGCAGAGGCTTCACAGTGCACTGGAGTGGGTGAGTCACAGACCTCACCCCAACTTGGACATGCATCTAAAGTCATGGAACCCACCAAAAATGATGTAAGACAAGAAGAGTCTGCAGAAACCTTGCCACAGTTAAGATGTCAAAATGGAGGGTATGTTAAATTCATCTTAGTTTTTGTTTGTCTGGTAAAATTTGTTTATTTGTAATACAAGCAGTTTTGTTCATTTGATTTGTCTTGGCTTTTCTCCTTTAGATCAACTGAAAGCAGTCAGTATTCATCTGCCTCTGAGCCATCTCCCAAAACAGTGTCTGAGGAACATTGCAAGGATGATACGGACAATATGGCTCCGCTCAACCTCTCTACAAGAAACCAGGAACACGACGAGAGAGCTGAGCACAGCCTAACGGGCTCAGACAGGGAGAAAATAAACGGCAATGAGTTACCACTAAATCTCAGCCTCAGAACTTCTCAAAGCGGCTTCGTTCACAGCTATGCTGCGACCGCTCCAGAAGATCTTCCACAGAGACCGGACAAAGGTCTGGATGAAGAACCATGTGACCAGAGGCAGACTGCAGCTCTGGCACTTTGCCAACTTGCCACTGCAAGTTCTGAAGTTTCTATCAGTTTCAATGCTGTAAATCAGTCCACTCAAGAGTCACTGAAGACTTCAGGTATTTCTTCTCTCAAGACTGTCAAGCCAACTACAAGGGCTAAAGCAGCCACAAAAAGAACAAACAATGGCCAGACTGAGAGCAAATGCTATAAACCAGTCAAGAAAGCAAAAACATCAGGGCGGGCTCTGAGGAGGAGGCCTCGCTGCTAAAACTAAACACTGACTGTTGCAAAAATGTAGTAAAACGAACTGAAAACCCCTCATTTTTACAACTTCAAGCCACAACATCAAAACTATTTTTGACTTAGCACAGAGTTGAGGTGATCCACATGTAGAAATGACAGGTAAACAGTGCTGCTGTAAGGTTATATGTTAAAAAGAGGAAAGAAAAACTTGTCTGGTTGGCAGACCTGTTGTTACAAGTGTGCAAGACCTGTATAAATCTTGTTCTCACACTTAATTTGAAAGTGAGCAAAGGGGACTTGTGAATATAAAAAGGTGGCATTTGCATTATATATGAAATTGCTATGGAAGGAGTGGAAACAAACTTGTTCTGTAAATGTAAATAGCTGTAAAAATAGCTAAATAAATGATAAAATACTATGTTTCCTGAAATGTTTATGCTTTTCAGTGCACAAACCATTAATTAATCTTGAAGGGAGCAGCAGTCCTCTACGACCCAGTTCTGCCAGGGCAAGGCAGCCTCCATGCCAAGCGTTATCTGTTTCTTGGAAGCTTGAAAAAGAACACAGGTGCACAAGCAGGTAAAAACATAGAACCTACATAAAATGAGACAACTTGTAAAACTGCACCAGCTTTTTATTAATACATCTAAAGAAATAATAAATAGCAGAAGGTGACAAATGAGTGAGCCAGTGTGCCTCAAGCATGAACTTACCTGAAGCAGTCAAGTACTGATCCAACCACCTCATCTGCCAGCTCCTTGGGAAGCCTTCCAGTCACCCTCCCAATACTGAAATTTTCAACAAAATTGATTTTAATGGCTTGTAAACTCTTGCAGAGGACTTGGCTTTTATCTTAAGAATGCCAAAGACAAGTAGCAACAAGGATGAATTAGTATTATTGGTTCAGGTTTGCTGGATATCATATGAAAGCCTCATTACCCCTTTGCTGCAGACCAGCGAACAATTGTTTCCTTATCTTTCAGTCCAATCAGCAGGTGCTCTGCAAAATAACAACTAAATGTAATTTTGTTTAACAGTTGTTTTGTAATAAATCTCTGAGACTAAGTGAAGGCGATAACTTACCAATAACAGTCTCAACCTCCTCTGGGATGTCATACTCCTCTTGTTCTTGCGTCTCCGTCTCACGGGTGACAGCAGTAGTGGCCGTGATAGGCTGGGACATGGAGAGATTGGCTGCAAGGGAGCGGTTGCCTCTCTGGTACCTGAAAATATTCACAGTACTATTGTAAAACACTTTATTCTGTACTTGTTTCTCATCAAGAAACTGATGCACAATATGTCTCATTATTGCTCACTGCAAAAAGGCTTTGATGCTAAACCCCCCTCTGAACAGAGAATTCTAACTGATTACAGAAATCACTGAGTATTTAAAACTTAAAAAAAACAACATGTAAACACACCACAACTGTACTTGTTTCTGTTATTCTGTATATCTGATGTCATCAAGTGTGTACAAAAGTGTGTATCATGTCTGACCTCCAGGCAGCTAAACGTGGCTTGAGGAAGGTGAGGCCGAGCCTTTGGATGAGTTTGACGCTGAGCTTTCGCAGATTGGCCTCAGTACTTTCTGACAGAAGTTTCTGCTCCAGACACTGCAGAATTGTAGGAGCTAGGGGGTCCACCACATGCAAAACAAAGACATTAAAAAACAGACTATAACACCATCCATACTTAAATCAGGTTAGATTTACCTGATTTTTATGTCTATGCAGAATCTGCCATGTTTAAATTTAGCTTTGCGTTGAATAGAAAGTCATTCACAGATAGGAAAGCCATTTGAGAAGCTAAAGAAATCTAGTTCCACTTTTATGGAAAAGCTAATTTAAACTAAAGATTTTGCACGCAAATAGTTGTGTTGCCAAAAACATTTGAAAAATCACGTCCTCCGTTACTTTTAGTGACAATTGTTTCAGGATATCATGTCATCTGGACTTCGTTTTTTTGTTAAAAAGAAACGTTTCGCCCCTCATCCAAGAGGCTTGTGAGTCTGAGGCCTAGCCATCTGGTATTACCCAGAAGCCACCCTGACTCTTGTGTTTCAAGCCTGCCTCAGATACCCCTGAAGTCTGGCCTTTTCACTAATGGTTTCAAAAACACTAAGTTTGTTTTCTCAGTCATCCAGGTATATAACAACAAAAAAGGTTGAATCATGTCATCTGGACTTCGTTTTTTTGTTAAAACCATTAGTGAAAAGGCCAGACTTCAGGGGTATCTGAGGCAGGCT